GTGCCACCTTCAGCCCAGGGCCTGAGCCTGGAGACCCAGGATCGAGTACCCACCTCAGGCTCCCTGCATGGACCCTCCTTCTCCCTCTGCCTGTGTCTCTGCCTCTCTCTATCTCTCATGAATAAATAAAATCTTAAAAAAAAAAAAAGGAAAAGTGAAATAAATGCATATACTCATTGCAGAGATTGTTTCCAGTAACAGTTATATGAACTTTAAAGTAATTTTTGGACTTTTTTATGTGTACTTTCAGTAGTTTTCTTTTTTTAATTTTCAAACATTTCCTTAAGGTCAATTTTTTATAAATATCCCATATGTGCTTAAAAATATATGTTGGGTGGAAGGTTGTAATATATTGTCATTTTTCTAGTGGTTTGTGTCCTGTTTATCAACTTATAGGGCTCTTATAGATATTGGACTTATAGATATTGGAGATATCTACTCCTTTTTTGGTAAATGAATTTCAAATATTTAATCTTCATATCTTTTGGTTTTGTTTATGGTTCCTTTTCTCTAGAGAGATTGAAAATTTAATATATCTTTTTCTTTATTGTACATGTAGAAAACTTGCATGTCTTCACTGTCATTAATGTGTTTAAAAGGTTGGTTATAAGATAGTAAGGAGAAGTAGAGACCAGGGGGAACTGGAGATAGAGATGCATATCCTGCTTAAGGCTTTGAAATTCAAGTGGTTATAGGGACCTTGGGTGGCTCAGCTATTGAGTGTCTGCCTTCAGCTCAGGGTGTGATCCGGAATTCCGGGTTTTGCTGCATGGAGCCTGCTTCTCCCACTACCTGTGTCTCTGCCTCTATGTCTCTCATGAATAAATACATAAAATCTTTTAAAAAAAATTCAACTGGTTATAAAAAATGCTTTATTAGCCAAAATAAATATGGACCCATAAAGCCAATTTGTGTAACTTTTGTTATATGAGTTTTGGGTTTCCTATTTTGTATAACACAGTTTTTTGTTCCAGGTAAAAGTCCTATCAGAGGTTCTTCCAGTATTTTCATTATTTTATTTTGGACATCTTTTATTTTGTTAAATATTTATAGATCATTTTTTAAAAAAGATTTTATTCATTCATGAGAGATAGAGAGAGGCAGAGAGATAGGCAGAAGGAGAAGCAGGCTCCTTGTAGGGAGCCCGATGTGGGACTCAATCCCAGAACTCCAGGATCACGCCCCGAGCCGAAGGCAGATGCTTAACAGCTGAGCCACCCAGGTATCCCTAATTTTTTTTTTTAATTTATTTATGACAGTCACAGAGAGAGAGAGAGAGAGAGAGAGGCAGAGACACAGGCAGAGGGAGAAGCAGGCTCCATGCACCTGGAGCCCGACGTGGGATTCGATCTCGGGTCTCCAGGATCGCGCCCTGGGCCAAAGACCGGCGCTAAACCACTGCGCCACCCAGGGATCCCTCCCTAATTTTTTTTTTTAAAGATTTATTTATTTATATGTGCTAGACATAGAGAGAGGCAGAGACACAGGAGGAGGGAGAAGCAGGCTCCATCCCGGGAGCCCGATGTGGGACTCAGTCCCAGGACTCCAGGATCACGCCCTGGGCCAAAGGCAGGCGCCAAACCGCTGAGCCACCCAGGGATCCCCACATCCCTAATTTTTTTTTTTCCTAATTTTTAATATAAAGTATAGATTTAGCATGTTTTCTTTGGTTGAACTGTCAATTACGCCAGTGTTTTTTGTAAACGAGTATCTTTTTTACTGTATTGAAATGTCATCATTATCACCTTAAGTTTCCATATGCTGTCTTTTTCCACTGATCTATGTGTATGCCAGTCCTCTTTTGGTTACAGTTTTTTAATAGTAAGTTTTAATATATAATGGGGTAAATTTCTTTGTCATATTTCTGACAAATATGTCTATGACAAATACGAGAAAGGAAAAATAGGAAAAAGCCACAGACAGTTCGTAAATATACATGGACAACAAATATACTTAATCTTCACCAATATTTAGGAGAATACAATTAAAACTTCATTTCTTCTTTCCCAGTGTGAGATTTCTAGTAGATTGGAAGCTATGGAGGAAAAAAAAAAAAATCCGTTCCTTAATGGTAAGAACTTTTAAATTAAATGCCTATCAAATGCAATCATACAGAATTTAACAGGATCTGCATTTAAAAAAAATACCTGGTTTGCATTTAATCTTGTTTTTAGGGATCCCTGGGTGGCGCAGCGGTTTGGCGCCTGCCTTTGGCCCAGGGCGCGATCCTGGAGACCCGGGATCGAATCCCACGTTGGGCTCCTGGTGCATGGAGCCTGCTTCTCCCTCTGCCTATGTCTCTGCCTCTCTTTCTCTCTCTCTGTGACTATCATAAATAAATAAAAATTAAAAAAAAAAATCTTGTTTTTAGGTGGTAGACATGTCCCTATCTAATAATAATGAGATTCTTCTATTATCCCAGACACTCTTCATTAGTCCTTTTGTACTGTTAACAGCTTTTATATGGATTTTAAAGCATATTTTGAACAAGGAAAGAGTCTGTATGCACAAGTAAAGAAAGATCACCAAATAACTGCTTTTTGTGTACCATGTTTTGGTTTGATATGTCAAAATCACAGCCTTTTTCTTTAGCAAATACTTCTAAGTTTTGGATAATTAAAATGTGTAATACCTCCCCTCCCACAACCAGAATATTTTAGTTTTAAAGCATTCAAAACCCCTGCCTTTACAAAATTTAGTTTGTGGTTTTCTATTAAGTGTACTTAATATAATAGTCTCTACCTTCTGACTTTGTAACATTTTTTGCTAATATTTATATTAAAAAAAGAAGTACAACATAATGGATTAGATAGTGTGAATAGGAGATAAAAACGCTTAAAAAGCTATCTCTTTTTGAAACCTTTTTTTTCCTAAATTAATTTTCCTGTATTCTTGATAACTATATCTAGAATCTATTTTATTATGCCATGTTAGGAAGACCTTCTATTTTTGACAGAAGAAGAATAGTCACTCTCTCTTTAAAGAACATACAAAATTGAATCAGTTTACATGTAATTAATGTAGTTAAAATTAGTGTAACTCCATTTTCAAGCAGAAATTGAGGAAGAACAAGTCTTGGACCAAGTAGTCAATAGAGCATAGACCACATTTCCTTTTCTTCTTTTTTTCTGTAATAATAGCATAATTGTATAGAATGGCTGTAGTTAATGCTGTAAATAATCCACCCTTATCCCCTGGAAGCTTCAGTGTGCTTGAGTAAACTTCTGACAGTATTTGCATCTCTAATCTACTGACTCTTCTTGGAAATGTAGGAAGTCATGCTTGCAGCGCTTGTGGTGGGCCAGAAGTGCTGTGAAATTAACACTCCTGGGTGCAGCCCTCAGCCACAGACTTGGACTCTCAGGGCATGATACTGTGTAAATAGAACAGTTGAACATATTTTATACTGTTTCTGAGAGCTTTTCTGAGGGTTAAACCCACTGTGGTAGCTGATTTAAGAGTGCAGATTTATTGGATGTCTTGCCTTCCCTATACCACTTCTCTGTTTCTCTGCCATTGTTACCCAAACTTAAAAACTAATATACTTTCTTTTGAATCCTGTATCAGGTTTTGCTTCTAGGAATATTAAAATTAAGGCAGTATGACTTTGGGGGTAGTGTGACCAAACTTCAATGAGAATTTCATTTTCAGTAGTTTTATTTTTCGGCATGTATGAATTGCTGTATTTTTTTCACCCTCACTGTACATGTGATTGGAAGGGGAAAAAAGGAAAAGGGGAAAAAAAAAAAAGAGAAAAGCTCTAGTGTTGTCTAATACAGTGTGAGGAGAAAGGAAAGTGCTTGTCTTTGGGTGAGATTATTTCAGTTTATTGCACTTAATCCTTACAAAAATACTATGAAATAATAGATGAAACTGATTTCAGAGATAATTCACAGGGGACAGGATTCAAACCCAGTTGCATTTCAAACTTGGATCCTAAACCAAAGGCTATATATTCTTCCTTTTTTCTTTTCTTTTTATTTTAGTATTTGAAGAAAAAAATTTGAAATATTCTTAACATAGAGGAAAGTAGAAAATATTAATCTGTATTTGCCATCCAATTTTATTTTATTTTTTTAAAGATTTTTTTTTTAAGATTTTATTTATTCATGGGAAACAGAGAGAGAGAGAGAGAGAGAGAGAGAGAGAGAGAAAGGCAGAGACACAGGCAGAGGGAGAAGCAGTCTCCATGCCGGGAGCCCGACCCGGGACTCGATCCCCGGTCTCCAGGATCACACCCTGGGCTGAAGGCAGCACTATACCGCTGAGCCACCTGGGCTGCCCTGCCACCCAATTTTAACAGTATTTGGTTACTTTTTGCTTTAGATCTTATTTTTTTAAAGAAATAAACATCATAGATTCAGTTGAAACTCCTCTACCTATTCCTACTCCTGTGTCTCGACCCCCATTTAACTCACTAGAGGTAGTCACTGGCCTGAAGTTAGTATCATTTTCATGCATATTTTAAACTTTTACTACATATATGTATCAGTGAATAATATTGTAGTATTAAATCATGAGTTTAAACCTTAAATTGTATCATGCAAAAAAAAAATCAGTCTCGCTACAACTTTTTAAACCTCACTTATCTTTATGACAGTCATGTATCCGTGTTTTGATATATAGCTCTAGTTCATTCATAAAATTGATGAATAATATTCTTTTTTTTGATGAATAATACTCTTATTGTAAGAAGATTCTACAGTTTATATATCATTTTTTTCTACTGATCAATATTTAGGTTATTTTATTTTATTATTTTATTAAGTTTTCATTTTAATTCCGGTAGTTAACATACAGTGTTATATTAGTTTCAGATGTACAATATAGTGATTTGACACTTCCGTACATTCCTCAGTGCTGATCAGGACAAGTGCTCTCCTTAATCCCCATCACCTATTTCACTCATTCCTCCACTCACCTCCCCTCCTGTAATAATTTCAGTTTGTTCTCTATGGTTAAGAGTCTGTTTCTTGGTGTGTCTCTCTTTCTTTTTCCCTAGAAATCTGAAACACTTCATGAATTTGTGTCTTCCCTGCACAGGGGCCATACTAACCTCTGTATTGTTCTAATTTTAGTATATATGCTGTCAGAGCAAAGCACTATTTCAAATAATACATTCACTGTGAACATTATGCAGGAATTTCTGGTTTGTCAGATAGTTATATCTTCTGATTAGTTAAATGTACCCTAACTACCCTCTAAAACCAGTTGTTTGAAGGGTTCTACATCCTCTCATCCACACTTGGTATCTTTAGACTCCTTGATTTTGGCAGCCTGATTGGCATGATTTGATATCTTAATTTGCATTTACTTAACTATAAGTGAGATCTACCATCTTCTTTGTTTATTGATCTATTCGTATCTTTTGCTTCTTTTTTCATTGGGGTTTCTTTTGCTGATTTTTTTTTTTTTTTTTGGTAGTTTCTTTTAGTTTTGTAGCTTGGCTAATTTTAATCAAGAATTGGTACCATTTGACGCCTGTTAGCTTGATAAAAATGTCCTTTTTTGCTGAACTTTATGATTTTTGTTATATGTCTCTTCTAAGCACTGTATACCTTGAGTTTTAAAAAAGAAATCCAGTCTGGTGTACCAGAGTGGCTCAGTTGGTTAAGTGTCTGACTTTGGCTAAGGTCCTGATCTCAGGGTCCTGGGGTCCAGCCTAACATCAGGCTCTGTGCTCAGCCGGGAGTCTCCTTGTCCCTCTGCCCCTCCTCCTGCTTATTTTCTCTCTCTCTCTCTCTCTCTCTCTCTCTCGTTCTCTCTTTCAAATAAATTAAAAAAAAAAAAGGCTTAAAAAAATCCAGTCTGATGTTCTTTGTCTTTTATTTTTATTTTTTTAAAAAGATTTATTTATCTATCTTTCTAATCTATCCAATTTATTTATTTATTTATTTAAGACATAGAGAGAGAGAGAGAGAGAGGCAGAGATACAGGCAGAGGGAGAAGCAGGCTCCATGCCGGGAGCCTGACGTGGGACTCGATCCCGGGACTCCAGGATCATGCCCTGGGCCAAAGGCAGGCACCAAACCGCTGAGCCACCCAGGGATCCCCTGTTCTTTGTCTTTTGGAAGGTGAGTTTTATTGACTTATTATTTACATTTATTGTATTTGTTGACATTTGGACTTAAAATTTTTTTATAGTCCTTTGTTTTGCTTTTAATTTTCTTTTTTTCTGCATTCTTACAGATTATAAATCTTTTCAATTGTTAACATTTTCTGACATGTATACTTGAATATTCACTTTTATAAAAAAGCCCAAAATTATTTAGTATACCTCTCCTACTAAATAGGCAAGGAAGAATCAAAAGCTATCTTACTTTCATCTAAAGTTTCAGTTTTTCATGTTTCTTTTTAGGTTTTCCATTTTTAAAAACCTGTCAGTATCTAATACTACTTTTACTGTAGTTAGAGATCAGAATCTTTAAGAGGAAAATTTTGTAGTAAATATTATGAGCAACTTTTGTTTTTAAATGTACATGAGAGATGAATTGTAAAATATAAAATATGGGACTTCACTCCCTGAAATTTTCTAATTGAATAACCTGAAAACACTCTTACTAAGGAATGCTAGATGAAATATAACAGACATCCTTTAAGAAAGCTTTTTTCTTAGGGAGAATTTTGAACATACAAAAGTGTATATATAATGGTATAATGAGCTCTTACACAGTAATCACTCAGCTGCAATAGCCCTTATTACCTGTGGCCATTTCTGTGCCAACTGCTTTCGCCATTAATGTGTTATTTTGAAGCACATGTAGACATATCATTTCTTCCATTAATATTTCAGTCTGCATCTCTAAAATACAAGAACACCTTTTAAAAGTAAAAACATCACAATTCCTTAATATCTTTAAATATTCAGCAAGCAATCAAATTTCTGAATATTTGATATGCCATAAATGGCTTTTTTAAATGGTTTTGTTTTCTTTTTTTAAACTAGGATCCAAATGAGGTCCACACATTGTGACTTTACAGTCTTTTAATATTTCCTGCATCCCTTGTCTTTTTTCTTTAGTAACCATGTTGGTTATAGTTTGCCACACTCTAGATTTTGCTGATCCCATTTTCATGGTGTAGTTTAAGGTGTTCCTCTGTTCTCTGTGTTGCCTGTAAATTGGTATTTTGCAGACTTGATTATATTCAAAATTGTCCTATACCACCCGAAAATATTTTCTTAGATATTCTTGTCTTACTGTTTTTTTTTTCTTTTTTCAGCTGATTACCTTCAGAATTCCCCTTTCCCTTGGAAATTTGGATTTCTATAGCATTTGTTTCCTGTTCTTTACCTTCACTGCATGTCCCTTTCCCTAACGGTATCCTGTCACATCTACCCTAGGATCTAGACGAAGTATTTACAGTGCTGTTTCCATAGGCTAATATTTATCACCCTAATACAAAAAACAAAAATCTTGTCCTTTGGGATTAATATGATACAGTATATTATCATCCTCAGTCTCTCCCGTTGTCCTCTGCTGTCCTTTACTTGCCTACTCCTATGTTATTAGTTGAGAACTTTTGGCATCTAACTTGGTTTTCCTCTAAACTCCCTTTTCTGACATTATCATAGGTTATGTCATTATCCAGGTGAAGAACTCCCTTAAAGATACCTTCAAGTTTCTTAATATATTTGACTCTGCAGTGTCATCCACATTCGACAGCAGTACTGCTTTCTCATTACCTCATTCTACTGAAGCCCTGTTATCATCTCAAGTTACTCCATCTCTGAAGTTGTACCAACTTCATATTCTCTCGTTATGTTCTCTTGTATTTTTTAGGTCTTTTATATTGTATTCCTGTGCCCCTGATCCTGTTCATGTCTGTTCTAGGGTTAATACCTCCCTCCTTTGTTTTCCCCTTCTTTCTTTGGTGTTATCACTGTTGGCACCTCCAGTAGCTTAAGAGTGATTTCTTATCTTATTTTTTTGTTCTCCTTTGGTCTTTGTCAGCAGCTATCCTGTCCCTTTTCTGCTTTTTACCCTTAATAGCCTTGCTACCTTGTTTTCCTTTTTCTCATTATTCTTAAATCTTTCCTCTAGATATTTCATATACATTGGTTTAAAAAATCAGATCATACAGAAGAACTTAAAATGGAAATACAGAAGACCTTAAAATGCAAGAACCTAAAATGACAGAAGTTTTATTCTTTCCACCTCAATCCTTTTCTCCAGTTTTTTTTTTTTTTTTTTTTAAGATTTTATTTATTCAGGAGAGACAGAGAGAGAGGCAGAGACACAGGCAGAGGGAGAAGCAGGCTCCATGCAGGGAGCCCGATGTGGGACTTGATCCTGGGACTCTGGGATGACGCCCTGGGCCAAAGGCAGGTGCTAAACCGCTGAGCCACCCAGGGATCCCCCAAGAAATCATTCTTAATTCCTCATATATCAAGCTGATTACCATGAATCTTCTTATAGGTGCTCATGTTCCAAATATCTAAAATCCACTTTTCTTTCAAACTTACTTTTCTTTTCTGTCTTGTTGCTTAGCTACTCTTTCTTTATACTTAGTTGTTCAAACAGAAATCTCAAATTCAAATTAGACTCTTCCCTTGCCTTCACATACAGTTAGTAATAGGGTGGATCTATGCAGGAAATCTAGGTAGTACATACTCCCTGTCCTTTCACCCTGTGTATTCGATTACAGTTCCTGCAACACTTTATGTATTCTTTTATATATGTCCATATTATTTCCTTTCTAGCCAAGAAATGGCTGTCACTATACTTGGATGTTTGACTATGATTTAGGGAGATATTGCGTTAGATGTAATTGGCCAAATGCGAACTTTAAAAGTATGTTTGGCAGCCACATATCTGGTAGAAAGAGCTTTTGAGGCAGAGTGTTATCTTTCTTTTGGAAAATGTTGAATGTGTAAATGAACATGAGGTAATTTGAATGAGGTCAGATGATACCATAATATGTTTTTTTTTTTTAAATTTTTATTTATTTATGATAGTCACAGAGAGAGAGAGGGAGAGAGGCAGAGACATAGGCAGAGGGAGAAGCTGGCTCCATGCACCGGGAGCCAGACGTGGGATTCGATCCTGGGTCTCCAGGATCACGCCCTGGGCCAAAGGCAGGCGCTAAACCACTGCGCCACCCAGGGATCCCAGATATCATAATATGTAAACAGAAAAGTGATGGAATATATTTAGACTAGAAAATTTGACATGAATAAGTTTAAAAATTACAGAATTTCTTATAAGCTAACAAGTATGGTACATACCTGTTTTATATAGGTTTTGGCTGAATTACTCCTAAAATATCTTTGTAAAGAGAGGGGAAATATATAGGTAAGCACAGTATAATGACATTTTATCTTGTTTTTGTCAAGGATTCATAAAGCAACATTTTATATTTTACTGTATCACAGGAAATTTCTTTGATGGTTATGGATTATTGTGGTATAGTCTCCAAAATAAGCTCTATTCTGTGAACATTGGCTTTAAGCGATTTTTTTTCTACTTCTATTTTTTTGATAAATAATAATATAGAATAGTGGAAACCAATATACACTTAAAGGGAACATGGCTAAATTTCAACAAATAGAATATATTCCAAATATTAGCAATTAGCAATCATTGCAAAAATTATTTTATGAAATGTCTACCAGAGTTGTTTTAAGGTAGCCTAGAGGCCAATTAAAACATTTTAAATAGTATAGCAAAGAAAAATTCTACTTAACTAAAGAGGTGATAGAAGCAAAAACTAAGGGAAAGAATACTGATGCCAGAAAATAGGTTTTTAGGAAAGGATCCTTTTATTTTAGTGTATAGTAAAGCCAGTTTCTTAAACTAATTTAAAAGGTGAGGCTAAAAAACAATTGATATTTCTTGCTATTCCCTTTTTAGCTGTCATTCCTCAAGTGTCAGTTTAGCCTTTGAGGAGTGTAGGGATACAGAAAAAGAGGTCCATTAATTCTATAGCATGCTATTAGTGTAATTCTCAGTGTTTCTTTGTCATTACTTTGGGAAATTTGATAAAGAATATCTGAGACAAAAAAAGAACATCGGAGACCTTTTTTTTTTTTTAACAATAGTTGTTGAAAAGTAGATCCAAATTCTTACTAATGATTTCTATTGAAGACATGATGTTCCCGTTAC